AATATTATTTAAAAAAATGAGTTAAAGATTTTGGAGTATCAGAATACCCAGATTCATTTAAAGAAGAACCTAATAAATTATTAAAAATAAAAAAAGAATAAAAGGCCTGGCTAAAAATCGATGCCTTTGGGTTGTGCTGTTGGAGTTGTTAGGTGCTGTCTAGTTGAGTATGACCCATAGTGGCCCTGTGAACAAGGCTCTGCACTCTGTCCTATCCTGTACCGTCCCTCATCATCTCTGACACACTTGAGCTCATAGCTGCAGTCACTGTGTCTGTCCATCTCCAGCCAGAATATTCCTTAAAAATGAGGATGGTGAGACTTTGGAGATGTTATCAGCAGGGCTTTTCCCCTAGAAAAACATCTCATGCTTGGTAACCTAAAGGGCCATCAGAAGACAGGAAGATCCTCATAAAATGGGTTGGGTTTTAAGCATTGAGATTTTGAGGCTGGTGAGGGATTGGACACTGCTTTGTTCTGTTGTACACAGAGACTATGTATGAGTCAGAGAACACTTGACAGCATTTAACAAGGACAAAGTCTTCAGGATCCTTCTAGTTTCTTCACAGACCAGTAAATCTGATCTATACAAATTTGACTTTTGTACCACCTTTTCCACTCACTCTACCTCCTGTTGTGATCTGAGAGATGGTAACTGAGCACCATCTAGTCCTGGTCTCATGTTAGTGGAGGCTGTGGTTCATGTGGTCCTATTGGTCCTTTTGACTAATTGTTTCCTTGAGTTTTCTTTGTGCAGGGCTTAGGTGGTCACTGGCAAGATTTTTTTTAATTTATTATTCATTTCAATAAAAATTTACAGGGGAGCTCTGGTGGCCTAGTGGCAAGAAGCTGCAACTACAATCCCAGAGGTGCACGGTTCGAATCCACCAGATGCTCTGCCGGGGAAGGAGGGGCAATCTACTCCTGTACCAGTCAGATCTGATTTGACGGTACACGCACACAAAAATAAAATTAAAAAAAAAAATTTACAGATACTTTGGATTTCCATTCATTCATTGTTACGCTTTTCTCCCCTGCCCCCCCCGCCCCCCGTACACTACCCTCTTGGCAAAGTAAAAGAAAAATTCTTTCATTGTTTTACAATCCCTCCCCCCAGGTCCACTCCACTATGCAGCCTTCTCTCTGGACACCTGTCATGACAAAAATACCTAGTCGCATATCCCTTTTAAACCGTTTTCTCTCTCATCTGTTTCAATGCAGTATACATTATTAAGCCCATCTTTCTCAGTCTCCCCCCAACAGTGGTACCATGTAGTATTTGTCCTTTTTTGACTGAGATAATTCACTCAGAATAATGTCCTCCAGGGTCACCCATTTTGAATAATATTGCATGAGTTCCTTGTTTTTCAATGCAGCATAGTATTCCATTGTGTGAATATACCACAGCTTCTCTGTCCATTCCTTTGTTGATGGGCACTTAGGTTGTTTCCAACTCCTTGCTATTGTGAACAAAGCTGCAATAAACATGGGTGTGCATATATCTGCTTGGGTGTCAGTTATGGTCTCTTTGGGGTATATTCCCAGTAGAGGAATTGCTGGGTCAAATGGTATGTCTAAGATGCAACTTTCTGAGAAAGCACCATACTGCCTTCCACAGTGGTTGCACCACACTTGCAAGATTTTAAAACACCACTTACTACTTACCAAAATAGGATGGTTACAATGTAGATATCACACTCCTCCTCATAAAGTTTAGCCTCACAAATGATCTGTTCCACATATAGATTGAAAATGTTTGGAGACAGGATGTATTTCTGATGCACTCCTTTCCTGGTTTTGAACCATGCAGTGTTTCCTTGCTCTGTCTGACAACTGTCTCCTGGTCCAAGTATAGGTATAAAGAGGCATGTGGCATCAAGATTGGAGGAAGATTCATCAACAACCTGTGTTATGCAGATGATACAACCTTGTTTGCCAAAACTGAGGAGAACCTGAAGCATCTGCTGCAGAATGTCAAGGACTGTAGTCTTCAATACGGATAGAAGCTTAGACTAAAGAAAACAAAGATTCTCACCACTGGGTCAATTGGTAGCACCCTGATAGATGGAGAAGAGGTTGAGGTTGTTAACAATTTTAGCTTGCTCTGTTCCACGATCAATACTCTTGGCACTAGCAGTCAGGAAATCAAAAGATAAATTGCATTGGAGAAGTCTGTTGTCGGGGACCTCTCCAAAGTGCTGAGGAGCAATGAAAGTCTACAGACTAAGGTGCACCTCAATCCAGGCCATGGTTGTTAAAATTACGTGCTATGCATCAGGGAACTGAACAATGACTAAGAACAACAGAAGAATAATTGATACTTTTGAGTTGTGGTGCTGAAGAAGGGTACTGAGCATATCATGGACCACCAGGAGAACAAATAGGTCTTTATTGGAAAGGGTGAAACCAAGTTTCTCCTTGAAGGCTAGGATTTTGAAGCTCTGTCCCACATACTTTGGGCACATGGCTAGGAGGGACCTGTCCTTGGAGAAGAACATCATGCTTGTAAGGGTGGAGGCACAGTGCAAGACAGAAAGACCGGCATGAGATGAGATGGATTGACATGATAACTGGGGCAATGGGATTAGGTGTGTCTGAGCCAGACTGGCTCAGGATAGGGTAGGGTTCAGAGTTGTACATAGTGTCACTATGAGTCGCAAGTGACTCGATGGCATATAACAACAACAGGCTATAGAACATTGTAATGACAATTGACCAAGATGCCCTATCCTTCAAGTACAGTACTTCTGTTCTGGATTTTTTTTTAAAGGCTTAGAGGTTTTCATGACTGTGCCCTAA